GCTAAAAGACCGAACAAATCTGTCCTGGAGGAAGTGCAGCCGGAATGCTCCTTGGAAGCAAGAATGGCCAGACTTCATCTCACCTGCTTTGGTCATGTTGTCAGAAGGGACCATTCCCTGGAGAAGGATACCTTGCTTAGTGAGGGTCGGTGAAAAAGGGGAAGGGTGTCAATGAGATGGAGTGACACAGTGGCTGCAATGACGGGCTCGGGTACAGCAAGGACTGTGAGGCTGGCCCAGGACCGGGCAGTGCTTTGTCCTGCTGTACATAGGGTCGCTTTGAGTCGGAGATGACTCGACAGCACCTAACAACAACATATAAGGATGCTTGGGGACAAATATCATGGAAGAGTGAGATTATAACATGTATTGGGGTTTACTATGGGAGAGGTGGGTTTGGGGGTGAGAGCAAGAATGTCTCCAGGGATGGATAGTGGGAAATGAGTTAGGAGGGGACAGATCTTGATGAGGTGGGGCTAGGGGTGTCTGGGTGGACCCAGGGGTCGTGGCCCAGCCGAGGGACAAGACAGAGCAGGAAGTTGGGTGGCAAAGACTTTACTGCCAACGCCGGCCCACCCAGTCAGTAGCATTTGCGGTACACAATGTGGGGCCCCTGCTCCTCGTACTGCTCCCGGAGGACCCAGCAGGACTGGAAGGCCCGCAGCGAGGCCAGGATGGAACCCCCAACCCACACCGAGAAATTCCGCGTGGGCTGAGCCGCCACCACCACGTGGGCCTCTGGGGGCAGAGAGCGCAGCAGCTCCGCCCGGAAGCGGCCTTCGAATCCGGGGAAGAGCGAGGAGCCCCCGCACAACAGCACGTTCTGGGCCATGTCCGCGCGCGCCTCCAGGACCACCTTGTGCAGGCTCTGCTTGGCCATGGTGGGGACGCCCACGGGTGACAACCCCGGGATCTCGGGGGGACTGAAGAGCAGCTCTGGACACTGGAAGAGCTCCTTGCCCAGCGTGACGGTCCTGCCGTCCGGCAGCTTCAGCTCCTGGCGACACTCCTGCTCCGGCCGCGCCTGCTCCTTGAGGAAGTCGGGCGCCACGTAGCAGTAGCGGTGCTTGATGCTCTCCACGGTCTCCAGGTCCTGCTGGCCCAGTGCCAGGCCCGAGCCGCGCAGCACCTCCGCCAGGAAGGCGGTCAGATGGATGCCCGCCAGGTCCAGGCGCTCTGTGGCGTGGGGCAAGTTGTAGCCCTGGAAGACCGGTACTGTGTAGGTGACCCCGTGACCGGTGTCCACCACCAGCCCGCTGATGCGCCCGTGCGCGTAGACCGACAACACTGACTGCGAGGCCACGTACATGGCCGGCGAGCGCAGCGCCTCGAACGCCACCTCCACCAGCTTCTCGCGGTTGGTGGCTGGGCTGAAGGGAGGGTCGGAGAACAGCAGAGGGTGATCCTTGGGGGCCACGCCCAGATCGTGCTCCAGCAGGTGGCGCCAGATCAGTTCGGCTGCGTCCCAGTCCACCAGGATGCCGCTGCGCATGGGCTGCAGCAAGGTCAGCTCCAGCCGCCCGCGGGCCGCCTCGCCGATGAATGTCTCCAGCTCTGGCTGTCCGCCATTGGCGGGCTTTTTGGGCTGGCAGCCAACGATGGTGGCCACGGTGCAGGTGGGCTGGGCCTGCCCTGCGAAGCCTACCTTACAGGTGCCCGTGCCCATGTCGATGACCACTGCTCCTGTCTTGGGCGGAGATCCGTCCCCCACCATGTCTGGAGTGTCCTGCAGCCTGGTAGTTTTCCTCAGGATAGTGGCGGGGCCCAAGCTACGTCTGGACGCCCCTGGAGAGGACCTTGGGCCCTGGGGCTTTGAGTCATTTGTGTTAATAGCTCGAGGTGGGGGAGTGGACATGGCTGCTTCTGTGGGAGAAGAGGTTAAGGCCACATCAGAGACAAGGCCAGGGTGAGAGAAGGGCAGGTGGTTGGCCCATGGTCTATGACATCACCCTGTGCCCCTAGCCCACCTTATACAGACTTCACAATACAAGGGCAGGGTGGGGTCCCTCTGTGAATATTACTCAGCCATAAAGAGAAATGAAGTTCTGACACATGCATGTGAGGCAACTGAAAATATCATGGTTTGTATCAGGCACCCTTCAGTTTTCAAAGTGACATCTTTGCTTTGTAACACTTTAAAGAGATATTTTGCAACACATTTGCCCAATGCAATACAATGTTTGATTTCTTGACTGCTGCTTCCATGGGCATTGATTGTAGATCCAAGTAAAATGAAATCCTTGACAAATTCAATCTTTTCTTCCATTTATCATGATGTTGCTTATTGGTCCAGCTGCGATGATTTTTGTTTTCTTTCTGTTGGAATGCAATCCTACTGAAGGCTATAATCTTTGATCTTCATCAATAAGTGCTTCAAGTCTTTTTCACTTTCAGCAAGCAAGATTGTGTCAGGTGCATATCGCAGGTCATTAATGAGTCTTCCTCCAATCCTGATGCCATGTTCTTCTTCATCTAGTCCAGCTTCTCAGATTATGTGCTCAGCATACAGATCGAATAAGCATGGTGAAAGATACAACCCTGATGCACACTCTTCCTGATTTTAAACCATACATTATCCCCTTGTTCTGTCTGAACATCTAACTCTTGGTTTATGTGTAGGTTTCTCATGAGCATGATTAAGTGTTCAGGAATCCCCGTTCTTCACAATGTTATCCATAATTTGTTATGATCCACACAGTGGAATACCTTTGCATAGTCAGTAAAATACAGATAAACATCTTTCTGGTATTCTCTGCTTTCAGACAAGATCTATGTGACATCAGCAGTGATATCCCTTAGTCCACAATGTCTTCTGAATCTAGCTTGAATTTCTGGCAGTTCCACATCAATGTACACGTCACCACTTTTGAATTATCTTCAGCAACTATAGGGTTGCTATGAGTCAGAATCAACTCGATGGCAGTGAGTTTGATTTCTATTTTTATGATATTAATGATATTATTCTATACTTTCCACATT